CCAGCATAAAGAGTCAGGCCTGTGCTTGTTTCAAGACGGTCAACTGTCTTTTAGTCTGTAGCTCGCAGAAAACAACCGTAAAATGTGAAGCTCGTGGGGCAACTTCTCATTCTTCTCCTCTGCGTTTCTCGCTCATCCTTCCTGCTGCGTCGTCCGGGCTTGCGGGAGCTGGTGCCTTTATAGCACCCTCTGTTTCACAGTGGCTCTTTTCCTTCCTGCCCTATCCAGGGCACAAAGACACATGTCCAGACACGCTTCAGCTTTGTTGCAAGTTCCCTGCTCTTTGTATATCTATTTTAGAACACGCTTGCCCAATAGCGAGCAAGTTAAGCTGAGCTGTCTTGCCTTGGCCATACTGCCTAAGTAAGTAGTTTATTTTATTTTTAAGCTATTTGAGGAGATGAGAGGTTGTCTGCCTTTGAAATCAAGCTGTTCTGCAGCTGGAGGTAGTGAAACAGTGATGCTGCTCGCCCTGTCCTGCTTCCCTTTCGATAGCAGCGCTGCACTGGTGAGCCTCCGCTTAATTCGGGGGCTTTCTTTTTGAGCGGAGAGCAGTGACGGGAAGAAAACCTGTGCTTTGCCTAAGTATTCTGGTGTTTCTCCTTATTTCCAAGCGCTTTCCTCCCAGCCTGACAGTTCAAACTCCTTCAGATGGTTACGCAGCCTTTGCTTTCTTCTTCCCGTACCATTAAGGGAGTTTCTCTTCCTTGTGCGGTTGTCTTCTGCTGGACTTTAGTCGGGCTGGGACCTCGCCTGGTCTGGATTAAAGGGTATCGTGCTAGCACGTAGTACCTATCATGCGTTAATTGACTCGTCAGTTTGTGTCGACAGCCCGTGCGTCCGCAAAACTGGTTAAGCTAAAGCCTCCAGAGGAGTAAGCAGTGAAATAAAACCTCTGCCTTGAGTCCTTGCAGCCCTTATTTCCAGCGTGGCGGGGCGGTTCTGCTGGTGCTCCCCGGTTTGTTGTTTGGTTTTGTTTTTTTATTATTTTTTTTTTTTTTACAGCCCTGCCTGGTCGGGGAGTTGTACTTCATCAAACAGCAGCCGAAACATCATCTGAGATCCCTCAGCCCCCGGGGTGATTCATAAACTAGTGCAACCTGTTGCGTAGGGAGTGCCCGCTATCGAGGAGATGTGTGAGGTTACTCATTAACTGTTCTGTATGCATCTTGTTCGGCAGAAGGCTGCGCTCAAACCCCGAGGAACGGCTCCGGCGGGTCGCAGACACGCCAAATGACTTTTCCGCAGCGCGCCGACTCGGTCAGCCTCTGTACGCCTCGATTGCTCACCCTTGCATTGTCGCAGCCTCAATTGCTTCTCACCCCATTAACCACAAAATTAAAACGACTGGTCTTGAGACACGAGTTGCTGGGGGAGGGAGGGAGAAAAATCCCCTCTCTTATTTATTATTTTTTTTCTAACCCACACCCAGCTATCAGGTTGCCAGGCTGTTCTCGCAGTAGGATTTCCGAGTTCAAAAAGTACCTAGTTTCTCTGTTAACTGGGGGGAGAAACACTCCAGAGGTCCAAGTGTGGTTATTAAAGAGGGTTCTTTTATGGAAAGTAGTGTGTATAAAGGAAGAAGCAAAAATAGTGAGGTGAGGGAAGACAGGCGTTTTCGGCAGAGGTGCTGAGGAGTCTTTTTTTAAACAATCGGACTATTTGATGGAGACAAGTAGGAGATGCTGTGAGTACAGGTGAACGCAGCTGTGGAATTACGCCGGCAGAATTAAAACCTTCAAAAGTGATTGGTGTCACACCTCTAACTCAACTTTCCTGGGGGTTTTGCCTTTTTCGGAGCGTTCGCTGGCATTTTAGCTCGCTGGCCCGAATGCCCTGGGTGGCAGCTGACACCTATCCGCCAAGACCAGTTGTACCTGGAAGCTCGTTTTGTGAGGCTCTGCTGTGCTTTGTGGATTCTCGCTCCCTCTGCGGTGCAAGTGGGGTTTGGGAGGTGGTCCTGGGTGTCCAGCCACTCTCTGACCACCGGCAGATGAATTTGTGTCCCGCTTTGAGTCCCTGGAAATTAAGAATCACTGGCTGTAGGTAAGCCATGGTAAACTGCAGAAAGGGCTCCTGTGCCAAAAGCTTGTTGTAGTTCTTCAGATATATCTCTTGGCTGAATAGGAGGTTACTTCTGCCCGCGAATCTTGCCTTGCTGTTAGTCATCTCCTTGGTTGTTTAAATTCATTGCCAGCCGAGGCCATCCGTCTGTGGCGGGGGTGCGTTTCGCCCCATCCCGTTCCCAGTTAACGAGTGAATGGAGAGCAGGCAGCGTGGGTAACGCGTAAGCTAATGATGACCTGTGTCCGATGCTGATTTGTCTTTGCTCTCTCTTCTTGCAGGATCCCTCGGTGACACAGCTCACAAACACTAGCCAAAGTGGCTTGGATGAATTCAACCCCTTTTCGGAGAGCTCCCAGCTGGTACGTGCCGTGTATCTTTGCACTAGGTATCTCGGTGGCGGTTTTAGCAGCGTAGAAGGTCCCCTGCTAGGTGCAGCTTAAAAGAAAAAAAAAGAGTGAGGCGTTCGCAGCTGATTTCCCCACGGGCAGTAGTAGTTCATTGCGTGCGTGGCAAGCTGCAAGCAACTGCTCCTACGCGGGAGCACTAATAAACTCCCAGCTGGAGCTCTCCGCTCGCGTGGAACAGCTTCTCTCAAACTCCCTGCTGGCTCACAGGAAAGCCATATGAAGTGTGAAGGGGAAGATGTTTTGTGGCAGGACGCATCAATATTTATTTGGTCTCTGGGTTGGGAGCTGAACTGCTGCGGCGATACCATTGATGGATTGCTGCAAGAACTTCATCCTTATTTCCTGGCTGCTGCCGCGTGTGAGGTGGGAAAAGGAGAACAGGAAACCAGGGTAAAGCAATATTTGTGGTTTAAATAACTGACCAAAATTCCTTGTTGTTTCTCCTTTGCTTAATACCTGTCATCCTCATGTGCCACTCCCCCAGTGCGTTAAGGAACGAACAAACTTTTGAAAATGCGGAGTTGCTTCCTGCTTGTGCTTTCGGGTTTAGTAGCGCTAAAACTCGAACTATTGTTGGCTAAAAGAAGCAGTATGTAATGTTTTTGCCTTGTTGCTTGTGATTTACCCGCAGACAAATGCGGCGCGGACGACGCCGGCCGCGCAGCCCTCCGGCCACTCGCAGCCTGCTGTTCTGCAGACGTCGGTAGAGCCCACTCCCCAGGTATGGCGACCCCTGGCCGCTGCCTTCCCACCCAGCCGGGCTGGAGAGCGTCAGGGAGCTCCCGTGGGCCCCTGGAGGCACGTGGGAATAGGAGGGGAACAGGATTCTCTGGGGTTGGGTGTGAGAAGCTGCAGGTGATCTTTTAAACTTGCGTTCGTCCCCGCCTCGCGAAGCGGATCTCTATAGGGAATACATACACGCAGTTCTTTCTGTGCCTTTTCCCTGTCCCTCTGGTGGCAGAGCTCACTTTGCCTTGTTCCCTGTTTGCTCTGGTTTCCCTCTGTAAACACTGAAACGTATCCTGCTAACGCTTTTAGCTTAGTTCTGGTGACTGGTCAGGCATGCTTGGTTGCAGGAGCCATAAATGCAGTCTAGCTATACGTTGCAGCCGCTGCTTAGACCGGCTGGCGAGTACCTGACGGGCAGGACCACCTCATCCAAAGAAGAGAGAAGCCGAGGCTGCTAGGAGAAAAGATCAGTTCTCGGATTAGCAAACAGGGAGAAGAGATGCGGTAGACATCTGCCTTGCCGTTCCTTTGGACCTCCTCCCCTAGCTGGGAAGGGAATTGTGCTGGTGAATTCCGGAGTCCTGCTCGCTGCTCTGTTGTAAGAGCACTGAGAGCAATGTGGCGAACTGGGAGGCAGAAGGAGCTGCAAGAAAAGCATAGCTTTGCTGAAAGGGAAGGGCGTAGAGAATGGGCAACAGACTGGATAGCTTCTTGAGGGCTCTTGCAGCCCTATCTTCCTGTGGTATGGGAGAGGAATGTCTGGGCGGAGTTCTGCATTTGCTCTTGACTTTTGTCCTGCAGCCGGTAAGGCAGAAAGCCTCAAGATGTTTCAGATCAAACAAAAAAAATTCAGATGTTCAGCTTTCAAATTGTCCTCAACCCTCGCTATTGAGTTGCCATTGCTTCCCTTCCAGTTTGGCACCTGGTGTGTTTGCTGGTGGTGTTGCCAGTACCTCGCTTAGGGAAGGACTTACCTCTTTCTCCCCCTTCTTTAGGCTGTGGCCGCGGCAGCGCAGGCTGGGCTGCTTCAGCAGCAGGCAGAACTAGAGAGGAAGGCAGCTGAGTTGGAGAAGAAGGAAAGGGAATTGCAGAGTAACGCCGCCAGCATTAATAGTGAGTACTGCTTCCTGCAAGAATTTTGATGCCCAGGGAAGCCTGGGTTGCTTGGTTTTTCAGAATTTGGTGAAGGCTCAGCCTGTCCAAGCGTACACAGCTTTTTTTTTTAGAAGCCGTGGGTCTTTCCTCTAGTCCTTCACAGCCGTGGCAACCCTCTTGGCACTGGATCTGTCATCCCATAACTTAACAAGGTGGGAAACAAGCTCAGAGATGAGATGCTGGAGACCAGCTCCGGTGGGTCTCTGCCCTCGAGCGCACTCCCAGGGTCTGCACTTAGCCACGTTAAGGTCTTCAAAGACCGGTTTCATATCTGTGTCCGAGCTCTTGTGTGATGCTGCCACGTTAAGGCTTTTCGCTGAGCGCAGTAAAGCTTTTTTTTTTCAGTCTCGAGGCTCTCTTAACCGCAGCAAACAATATTTTCCCCTAATCTTGGTTTTAAACGGCTGAATGTGGACTTGTAGTGCCGAGTGGCGATGGTTGCGACGGCCCTTTGGCGGTTGCAGGCGAATTCTGCCTCCCCCAGAGGAAAGCCCTCAAACCAGGCTGACCTGCCCCAGCGCTGCCAGCAGAGTTAACGCATCCCTGCTGTGCCGCCCGCTCAAACCTACTCTTCCGAGTTCTTAATGTCAGTACAATATATGAATGGCTACTTGCGAATTACGGCGCGCAAATTAGTCTTCCAGTGAGAGAAGAGGGAGTGAAGAGCGGCTCCTTTCTCCTTTCCACAGCGCGGCAAAACAACTGGCCGCCTCTTCCCAAGAAGTGTCCCATCAAGCCGTGTTTTTATCAGGATTTTTCTGCGGACATCCCGGCTGACTACCAGCGGATATGCAAGATGCTGTATTACTTGTGGATGCGTAAGTAACAGCTTGAACTGCAATAAAAACTCTTCCTAAGAAGATTCTCTATCAAATGCTGAGCTTTGACCTACAGGAAATTCTGTAGGTGTTACCTGCAAGGGTAAAATAATGTCTCTCTTCCTTGTTTATGAAGGCAGATGTAAAGGACTCCAAGTTTGTGCTTTGGGAATAGCTCATCCGTGACAGAATTTTGATTGTTGTTTAATGGAGACTTTAACAACTCTCCTGAGGCTCTGGAAGACAACGGATATCGCAGTTCAGGCATCAGGGTGCAAACCAGTCTCAACTGTATTCATCAGTTTTGGTGCTCTGCAAAGATTTAAGACTTGGTTGTAAGCAGCAGGATCAGATGAGGTTCTTAAGTTAAGCTCCGGTTTCCTTTTGAGGGAGGGAAGGAAATTAGATGGCCCCAAAGTCGCCTTAATTTCTGCAGAGCTCCATGTGTTCAATGAGGGAGGAGGGATGTCTGGGGAGACTTCAGAGTTTTCCAAGAACTGACTGATGTTTCTTCTCTCCCTCTCTCTCCCATCCTGCACAGTGCATTCGATTACCCTGCTCCTAAACCTGCTTGCTTGCCTGGCGTGGTTCACAGTCGATATGCAGAGAGGAGTAGACTTTGGTCTCTCGATCCTGTGGTTTGTTTTATTCACCCCTTGTGCCTTTCTCTGTTGGTACCGACCGATTTACAAGGCTTTCAGGCAAGTACCGTTTCCCTCTGTAACAGGGATGGAGCTTTCAGTGGGAGGAGTTTTGGGTTTATCTGTTCTGATCGTATATTGCCTGCAGGATTTTTCCAGCTCTTTGCGTCGTTAAGTAGATCAAACCCACATATTAGAAGTATCTGATGAAACTTGATTGTGGTGGTCCTTTTTCATCTTGCAATCCAAGCCTAACCAGTCACAGGGTCCTACTTTTTTTTTTTTTTTTTTAATTGATTTCTGAGAAACTGTGTGGTACGTTAATGTGCTGAGCACGCTGCGTGCGTTAAGGAAGGTGCCTTCACCCCATCTTGCACTAGGCAGAGCGGTGGTTTTGCGATACGCAGTAAAACGTGTTATAAGTCGCGTTGCTGCGTAAGTTCCTCCTGAAATCGCCTCCCCTTAGCAGCTTTCTCCTGGAGAAAGGAGTTCACTGAAATTGTTTCCCTCCTTATCGAGAAGGGAGTATGTGCAGGGATCACGTCCTTGGGTTTCACTCCTGCTGCCATCTCTCCTGCAGGTCTGACAGCTCCTTCAGCTTCTTCGTCTTCTTTTTCATCTTCTTCTGCCAAATAGCAATCTACATCATCCAGGCTGTCGGCATT